TTTTTGATTCTGTCGAGGCGAGCCGTTCTATCTGGGCAGGCAGAACTTTCAATATTTAACTCTGTGTCATTTTCGTTATCATGGGCTTGAGAGGTATCTTGGACTGATGGAGTATTATGGGCTGAGGGCGCTGTATCGGGCTCGTGCATTGACTCCAGCGAAGGCAGAATGCCCACCTGTTGATCCGCTGGCTCCTCCACAATGGGACCGCTGTTGTATGTCGGGCTGGGTTCATGCGTCCTGCAGCCTGCTTCAAAAGTACATTCTTCAGACTCCACATCATAATCTAAATTGCTCATGGGAAATGTATCCTCCAAAAAACGAACGTCTCTAGATATGATGATTTTATGGCTTTCCAAATCATAAATCTTATAGTCCTTAACACCCTGTAAATACCCCACAAATATTCCCGGTCTCCCACGAGGCTCGAACTTATCTCCTCCAGTTTCTGTGCTACGATAATATGCTAAACATCCAAATACTCGCATATTATCATAGCTAGGCTTTTGACCATAAAGAATCTCATAAGGTGTCAACCCATTCAAGACCTTTGATGGCATTCTATTGATGACAAAAGTAGCAGTTAAAATACACTCTCCCCAAAATGCTTTGGTAAATTTGCCTCAAACCTGAGAGCTCGCGCCGTCTCGAGAAGATGACGATGTTTACGCTCCACAACTCCATTTTGTTGTGGAGTGTAAGGGCACGACGTTTCAAGAACCATCCCTTCCTTTGCATAAAATTCTCGCATGGCATTAGATACAAATTCTCCCCCGTTGTCGCAACGTATGCGTTTTATTTGTTTATTAAACTGGGTTTTGATCATTCTGCAAAAGTCTATTAGACATGTACTAGCTTCATCTTTGTGTTTAAGAAGAAAAGTCCACACTGCACGACTAAAATCATCCACTATGGTTAAAAAGTAAAAAGCTTTATTCAATGAAGGAGTTCTATATTTTCCCCACAAATCACAATGAATTAATTCGAAACAAGAAATCGTCTTTATTGTACTAAGTGGAAAAGGTAGTCTTGTGTGTTTTGCTTTGTAACAGGCATCACAATTCGTAGTCTTATTTGAGACATCTTTAATAAAATCTAAAGTAGAAATCTTCTTATTTGAGGGATGTCCAAGTCGCTTGTGCCAAACTTCAAAGTTGACCATAAGAGCTTGATGCTTCTTTGCCTCCCCCATCCGGTACAACCCTTCTGAAAAGTTACCCGCACCAATCAAGTGCTTCGTTGACAGATCCTGTATCACAAAAAATCGTGGAAAAAAAGTAACGGCACAATTTAGGCTATTTGTAAGTCTCCCAACCGACAAAAGGTTATAATTGAAATCTGGAACGTGTAAAACACGATTTATTTTAATACCACCCGGCAAAAAATGAATACCTTCTCCCTCAACAGACACCTTTTCACCATTAGGAATGACAACAGGTGTCTCTTTCGGGTTTTTAGTGACATTTTCTAAAAAAGCGATTCGATGGGTGATGTGTTCAGTAGCACCTGAATCCACAACCCATTCGCAATTAGAATCAATTTTACCTGCCATATGTGCCATTGGTTGAGTGTTTTTACTGTCCACAACGTTTTCCTCCTTAAAATGGTTCACGAACAAGTGATATTGCTCGTCAGTCAAACCTGACGATGGGGCTAGGCCCAAGCTCAACACATGCTGCCTTGGTTCGTGGTTTGTCTTTCTTTCCGGGCCACCAGTCGGGATAGCCGATTATCTTAAAACACCCATCTCTGTTATGTCCTTCTTTCGAACAGAAGGTACAATACTGCTTTTTATCATTTTCTGATTTTTGATATTTTGAAGTTCCTTTGTCAGAAGGCTGTCGTGATGACTGTGATGACTGATATTGCTGCCTCCCTTGATTTTGTTGAGCAACCTTGCGGTTTGAGTGATTAACTTGAAATGCAGTCGCTTCGGCATTCGGCCTCTTTGACCCTGTTGTTATTGCTCGTTGCTGCTCATCTTCAGCGAGAAGGTGGTAAACAGTGCTTAACGGGGGTGTGGGTTTCATCGCTAAGATCTGGGTACGAATCACCGAAAAATCGTCATCCAGACCCATAAGAAAGTCATATGTCCTTTCCTTTTCTTTCAGGTTGTTCAACAATTTTTCCAATATTGCATTTACATCCTTCACAGGCACAACGAGGAGTCGGGAGAACGAGTTGCAACTCATCCCAAATCGATCTCAACTTGGTATAGTAATTAAAAACAGTCGTACCTCCTTGTCTTATGGCGTTTAGGGTCTGCTTAAGCTCGTATGCTCGTGGGGCTCCATCCTCGAAACGTTCCTCCAAATCTCTCCATATTTCCGACGAGGTCTTCGCATACCTCACACTAGTCCTTATTTCTCGCTCCATTGTAGTCGTCAGCCACCCTTTTATCATAGCGTCAGCCCTCACCCATGCAAGAGACATCGGTGATTCGGCTCCTGGTTTCTCGATGGTTCCGTCGATTAGTCCCATCTTGTTTTTCGCCAACAAGAAATTGGTCATCTCTTGTTTCCATTCGTTGTAATTGTGATCGTTCAAGACATCATTCACTTGCATCTGTTTGGGATAATCAGACGGGTGAATATAGTATGACGAGTTGACATCAATCGTCTCCCCACTGGTTTCTTTTCCTGAACCTGTCGGTTTGTCTCCCGCCATGATCTATGACGGATTTTAGGGTTTCTTCTAGATCGTACGCTCTGATACCATAATAAAATTGACAGTGGAAGAGATGAATCAAGGAGCTTATCAATTGTTTTATCTATCTCATAAAAGTTACAGGGGAATGACCTTTTATACGTGACCCAAACAAAGATAACAAACCTAACTCACTTCAAGGAAAAGATAATTATCATCCATATAAAAGATAAATACTACACAGATTCCTAGATAATCTAAACGGTATAAAATAAGTTCCATTAGAAGAAAGAAAGGTAAGATAAAAGAAAAGAACGAAAGGTAGATGAAAGAAATGGCGACCATCTGTATGGGAGTTATGAATGTTAATTAAGTCGTATGGGAGTTATGAATGTTAATTAAGTCGTATGGACCATGAATGTTAATTAAGTCGTATGGACCATGAATGTTCCGTTGTTTGTGGATTGGCTAAATACATGCATTGAGATGAATATTAAATCCGTTGTAACTGTTTGTAGATTCATCCGAAAGGAGAGATCGAGTGCAAAATTCTCTAAAACCGAAATTTTGATTTAGATAAATCCAATTCCTTGGACACATTGCTAACAGGGGAGAGTGTTAAAGCGAATATTGCAGGGTTTGAAGCAGTAATGTGGTAAGATACATCAAAAAACCCTTCCAAGACTTCTCAAATAAATTGGTCATTTTCGATGATTTATTGAGAATAGTTCCGATGTAGTGACATTGACTGAGTTAACGAGGAAGACTGGAAAATTTGAATGATTGAAGGTACAACACGTAATAGTTTAGTATCTTAAACAAGCCTTATGTGAGGCTCTAGTATTGGTGTTGTCTCAAGACAAGGATGATTTTGTTGTATATAATAATAATGCTTTATGAGTTGATCTCGTAGGTAATTTAACACAGAAGTTGTAAGCGATTGCTAACATACTGAGTCAATTTAAAACAGTACAGAAAGAGTGTAGTTGCGATATAATAACCGGAGGTTGGATGTTGACATAAAGATAATCAGAGATGCATGTTATTTTATGCGTGGAGGTAGGGGTGTAAACGAGCCGAGCCGAGCCCGAGCCTGACAAAGCTCGAGCTCGGCTCGTTTAATTTGAGGAAGCTCGAGCTCAAGCTCGAGCTCGATTCGAGCCTTAAAATGAAGCTCGAGCTCGGCTCATGAATAATTTAGTGGGTTCGCGAGCCTAATCGAACCTAAACGAGCCTCTATGTGTGTGTGTGTGTGTATATATATATATATGTGTGTGTGTGTGTGTATGTATGTATGTGTGCGTGTGTGTGTATATATATATAGGCTCGTTTAAGCTCGTTTAGGCTCACGAGCCCATTAATTGAAGCTCGGCTCGAGCTCATTTAATAAACGAGCCTCATATTTAGGCTTGAGCTCGGCTCGGGCTCGTTTAATTCGATCTTGAGTCGAGCTTTTAACGAGTCGATCCCGAGTAGCTCACGAGTAGCTCGGCTCACTTACACCCCTACGTGGAGGTGTCTGCCTGAATTACTATGGTGTGGTTGTAGAAAACTCTCATTTTGTCTTTAATTGGCCTGATCCTTGAATAGCTGCAAATCTCTCAACAATCTATGAATCTCTTCACCGGATTGAATTTTCCTAATGGCTTAATGGTTACATCCAAATTAGGTGTAACCCATATTCGTGTAGTGTTTACAAAATTCTTTTGAGAAAGGATTAAATGCACATGTGCATCTCACATCTTGGTCATCTACATCGCAACAATAAAATAACTTCCCATATTAGAAGTTGACTTTTTATATTAGTCGGATTTTGCCCAATCAATTATGCATTATAAAGTTGTACAATACAATATTTTAAAGCATTAATTGTTGTGCATGGGAAAAATTGTTGTGCACATCTTCCTTTAAAATAATACCAAAATTATGGGTCAGAATTTTAACTTAGACATAATTGCTAGCTCTTATGGCCTTTAATAAAGGTTTCATACCATATTCCACGTACGTTCGGAATTGGTTAAGAAGTATTTTTCGGCTTTCCAATATTCAATGCGACTGAATGAGCGGCCCATGATTAATTGTGGACTATTCCTTGATAAGAAATATTTTGAGATTTGACTTTATATACTTTTTGTAATTCATATTTGGCGACCTGAAGAAAATGTATAGCTGGCATTCTGGAAATACGGATGATACGAGAAGATTTAGTAAGGGTGGAATAGTCCTCAAATGAGTCAACTATAGCATTGACTTGAGTTCTTGAAACATGCATTCATCTGATTAATGCTAGATTAGATATTTATATCATTTGTTCATTTTAATAGGTTCTCCGTCTTGTGTGTTGATTAATAGTGATGAGGGCACCATGGCTGTTGAGCTTTTTGTTCGCCTTGTTTCTCATCTTCTCATCATCTTACCAACTTTTTGGTACCGGGGTAAGAGCAGATTACTCATCCATTGATTCCCGATACTCCAATACAGTTGCTATATATAGTGTCAAAAGTTGGACAAACGATGAATCATTTATCCAGTCAACCTATTTTGAAGATGGCTCAAGAATCAGAGCCATTCTCCTTGAAGAAGACAGATTCGCTTGTGGCTTCTTCTGTAATGGAACATGCACATCCTACCTCTTTGCCATAATTATCAAACCATCAAAAACTGGGGGGGTTAACCCTGCAGCAGGTCCCACCGCAGCCAATCCGGCGGTCATTTGGTCAGCCAACCGAGACAATCCGGTTAGTCTGGGTGCAATACTGAGTTTCACTGAAGCTGGAGGATTGGTGTTAGAGGACATCGACGGAAGCATTGTTTGGACTGCAAACATTATGAGTACTGAAGGCAGTCGACAATATACAATGACGCTAAGTGATAACGGAAATCTGTTAATACATAATTACCTAGACTCGATGGTTTGGCAATCTTTTGATAACCCAACAGACTGTTTGGTAGATGGGCAAAAACTACTTCAAGGACAGAAGCTCATACCTAGTGTTTCATCATCTGACTGGACGTCTCAAAAAGACTTATACTCTCTACAAGTCACCAATAAAGGTCTGTTTGCTTATGTTGAATCAAACCCAAACCCACCTCAAGTCTATTACTGTTACTTGGTAAATGGAAAAAATCCAAATAAAGGATTCAGTCATGTTGAGCTCCATGGGGGTTTGTTTTTCTTCATTTCTTCTGCTGCTGGGCAAACTTATCCTGACAATGTGATTCCCATGCCTCAAGCATTCGCTCCAGGCTTCCCACTTCAGTATGTGAAACTCATGCCAGATGGGCATTTGAAAGCATTTGGCTGGAAACCATCAGGAGGAGTAGGGGTGGTTGTGGTCGATCTACTAACTGGTCCTCTTGGAGACTGTTTTTATCCTTTGGTTTGTGGGAGAAAGGCTATTTGCTCGGCTAATCATAATCAATCATGTAGTTGTCCCGGGACAGACTCTTTTAAAGCAGTGAATGAGAGCCAACCCAACATGGGTTGCTCTCATGTTACTCCTCTCACATGTAATGCCACCCAACATCAATATTTCATTGAGCTCATGTACGTTACGTACTTCACGTATAGCGCTGCCGACATGGAGGATGTCGATAAGGAGATTTGCAAAGAAGCGTGTCTCAACACCTGCTCATGGAAAGCTGCTATATTCAACTACGGTTCGAATTCTTCAAGTGGGACTTGTTATTTACCTTCTGAGCTTTTTACACTGACAGAAGTTGATGTAAATCTCAATTCTTCAGCTTTTATAAAAGTCCAGACCTCAAAGAGAAGAAATCATGTTGCAACAATTCTAGGCGCCACAATTGCAAGTTTAGTGCTTGTTGTGTTTGCAGGTTTTACTATGTTCACACTCCAAAAAAATAAAAAGAAAACTGAAATAGATGAAGAGTATTTAGATCAACTACCAGGAATGCCTACTCGGTTTTCCTATGAAGAACTAAAAATAGCAACAGAGAATTTCAGTACAAAGCTTGGCGAAGGAGGATTTGGATCGGTGTTTGAAGGGACTATCAAAGATGGCTCGAGGATTGCAGTAAAATGTCTTCATGGTCTTGTGCAGGTGAAGAAATCATTCCTGGCTGAAGTTGAGTCCATTGGCAGCATTCACCATGTGAATCTAGTTCGCCTTAGAGGATTTTGTGCTTGGAGTTCACAGCGGTTTCTCGTATACGAATTCATGAATAACGGATCATTAGACCAATGGATCTACTATGGAGACCGAAAGCATGTACTCACGTGGGATTGTAGAAGGAAGATCATTCTTGATATTGCTAAAGGTTTAGCATATCTCCATCAAGATTGTAGGCAAAAAATCATTCACCTCGATATTAAACCTCAAAACATACTCCTCGATGTCGATTTCAATGCCAAAGTATCTGACTTTGGGTTGTCCAAACTCATCGATAGAGATCAAAGCCAAATGATAACTACAATGAGAGGAACCCCTGGCTATCTGGCTCCAGAATGGCTGGGTTCAATTATCACTGAAAAGGTGGATGTATATAGCTTTGGGATCCTTCTTTTGGAGATCTTATGTGGAAGGAAGAATTTTGATAGATCTCAGCCGGAAGAAAGTTGGCACTTACTACGTGTCTTTCAAAGTTGTTGGGAACAAGGGACTTTGTTAAGTATAGTTGACAGGTACAGCCAAGACATGCAGGTATATGCTACAGAGGTCATGGAGATGATGAAAATGGCTTCATGGTGTCTACAGACAGATTTTACGAAAAGGCCTTCAATGTCATCGGTGGTTAAGGTATTAGAGGGAGTAACAAATATTGAATCCAACTTGGACTACAACTTCTTGTATCCAAAACTGCAGAAAATAACAGACAAACATGAGAAAAGCTCAAAACCAGTGTTACCTTCCATTCTATCCGGCCCGAGGTGAGATGTCCTGAGGTTCTTATGTTATCATTCCTAATTTCTATATATGTGTGTGTCTTTTCTTTCTTCAACAACAATTAAAGTGATACTCATGATTGCATTTTCTTCCCTATCAAATAGAATGGATATCCATCTCTTTATGTTGTGTCTAGGGTTATTCATCAAACATGTTAATTGTGGGTGAGATTTAATTTTTAGTAACTATGTTCCAGCTTGGGTTTGAGTCATTTAACTGGTATTTGGCTCAACCTCGATTAATAATAACATGTTTGTGTTTGGGCTCGTATATTTCATTGTTGTTGGAGCTCTAGTTCAATACTTATCATTTAATAGTTTTAATAATAATTTGCATTCACCTAAAATTTGAGCTGTACTGGTTGATAATGTCCAAAAAACCACTTGCTTTTAAAGCTCGTAAACCTCTTTATTTCCACTAAATTGAAGAAAAAAAAACATGAAAATATTTATTTTTATTATATTAGAAATTTAGAATATTTAGAATATCATATTTTTTATAGATGTATATCAATGGTAATTTGTATCATTCCCCTGAAGACCCTGTAACCTTTGGCTATATATACTAAGAATAATTTTCTTTCTATATTCCCTTTTCAAGTTAGTGTTCTGGATCTCCATGATAGATCCACAGATATAACAATTCGTTCCTCTTGACAATTCGTGATTTCCAAGAACAAAACACAAATAGTGAATGTTTCCAACAGATTCAACTTTAGCTAGGAATGGTTTCTTTAATGTGTGCAACGCAATCATCGAGTCAACCTCTAGAGTCCCTTACAAAACTTATCTTACTCCTCCCCTCCCAAAGCTCTTTACTAAAGTTCTCCATGACAGTTTTTAATTTTTCATACAAAAGCCTAGAGGGCATTTCATGAACCTGATCTAAATAATATTCCTTCATCTCAACATTCCTCTTTTGCTTACAAATTAACTATGGACATCTTACACCTACAATTCCAATTGTGGGACAAAATTGTTGTAACTTAATTTTTATTATCTCATTGGCAATTGACCAAGTTTCCAATCCACGCACCAAGAATTGTTTCAAGTTGCCACTCGAATTGTTCTCCACTTGTCGTTGGACGAGAAATTTGGGGGCAGATATGGAAGTGAACTTACATTGTTGGGTTTTATGGAAGCGGAGCGTTCTGATAACCGATTATCCGGTTGCCTCGAGATTCAGCAGTGCACATGGGCCTACTATAGTCCAGGTTAGCTGACCAGATGATACGAGGGTTTCGGGTTTCCTATATCAGGTCGAACGATACGGATACTCTGGTGGGAAGAGTTGCAGGTTCAATTACAAAAGAATCCAAAAGCCAAGGATACAGTGCAAAGTTTCAAAATTATCAACACTGTCGGTTTGCTAAGTGCTGATCTGCATCCCGAAAAATATACGTGGATCAGAAGAGGGAGGCGGCCGTATTATTTACAATAGTGGTCTTGAAAAGTTTGGTTAATTTGATTTTCATTATGAAAAGTTAAAAGAAAAAAAATACATGTTTTTGTTTTATATCTTCAAAGCAATATAAATATTTCAAAAGATATATATATATATATATATATATATATATTATATATATATATATATATATATATATATATATATATATATAATTGCAAAAATGGTCAAATCATGGTTGTTAAAAATATGTGGTTTTAATCCAAAAACCTATGATAGTGTATCAGTGCTTCAATTTTGGATACCTTGTATGGTTTTGTTTCATATCGTTAAATTTAACAGTTTGGTTGTTAATTTTTTTAAAATGAAAATTTTATCCTACAAATCATTTCTTTTGCAATTGTGTCTTTTTACCAAATCATAGGGACCATTTCTCTAACTTTTTTATTTAACTTTATTGAATTATTTAATATTAATTCTTTTTTTTTTAATTTATTTTTATTGGATTATTATATATTAATAAATATTATTTTATTAGATTACTAATTGTTTAACTTTTTTAATTATATATTAATAAATTATTGAGTAAATTACATTAATCGTCTGTTGTGTAAATGCTAAAACGCACGTTAAATTCTTATTTTCAAAAATTAACTTACTAGTGTTCCACCTGACTACCTAGAATAGTCAGTGGTTGTCACTTATACTTTTATAGATGATTGGTCCTGGTAATACAATGTGTGACCTCTCATAATTATTTTATTTTCCCAAAAACCCTTTACTACCCAATATGAATATGATAAATTAATTTAAATAAGTAAAATCATGTTATAACACAAATATCAAATACACAGATAGCAAGCACATATATCATTTAATAGATACTTTATATCTATGTGTAAGCTGAAAGTAACTATGCACTCACCTGATAAAATGGAGTGGATGACTGATGGTTTGGGCAGAGCTTCGCCTAACACCTTGACTCTTACCCTTGACATGACCTAGGTAGATTATTACTAAGTCTTAGTCTGGTATTCCTTATGACTAATGATAGTCTAGATTCCTCAATAATCTCAATGTCTACATCAAGATCTATCAAATAATGAACAACCGAGTATGATCATATAAGAGGTGGGTCTGTTTGGTATACAGAATATACTGTTTGAAAATCTCACTTTAAACATCTCACTAAATCCAGCTTAGACATCACTCTCGTAAGTAGATCAATCAGTATAATGACATTGAAATCACTAATAAATCTTAATTTTCCCACTGAATTTTCTTTAGCAAGGTTTTTAATGAGACAATACTTCAAGGTTGAACTCAGATTAGAAAAATTGTCATCCAAGGGGGAGTGTTATAAATTACATTAAATTATTGAGTTAGACAATGCATTTAAATGAACAATTTTCACCCATTTGAATAATTTCCTTTACCTATTGAATTACTATTTTGGTGATGTGTGAATAGGATGTCATGTAGTATAAATATTCATTAAATGTAAAGAGAAAATCACACCATCTTGAATACAATCTTCTAAGTGTTCAAGAATCCTCTTAAATTTTTATTTTATAATGTTTTAGTTTAGTTTTAATTATGAAATTTCTCTCTCTCTCTCTCTCCTCTCTCTCTCTCTCTCTCTTTCTCTCTCTCTCTCTCTCTATATATATATATATATATTATATAATATATAATATTATATATATATATATATATATAATATTATAATATGACAAAACTTCAAAAATGGTCCCTGTGGTTTTCGAAAATATCAAGTTTAGTCCCTAAGTTTAAAAAACCTCACAAATGGTCCCCGTGGTTTCAAAACTTTTAACATTTGGTCATTCCGGCTAACTCCGTTAGCTTATGGCAGTTAATTGAAAGGCAATTCAGTCATTTCACTTCCACATGGACCATTTATGAAGTTTTATCTTATTTTATATATATATATATATATATATATATATATATATAATTATTTAATATTAAAGGGTCCCACCCCTTCTCTCTCACACACACACACACCATCTTCTCTCTCTCTCTCTCTCCACAACTGTGATGTAATCTCGTGATTGATTGATCGAGTTCATCTGTAGTCTCAAGAATTCTCCATGGAAGTTCCTCAGATCTAGCTCACAAACAATGTCTTCTTCTTCAATTTCCAGCACAAACACCCTTTTCATTCTGTTTTACTCTCTGCTTTTCTTCTGTTTTTCCGACAATGCAGACACCGGAACCACCACATTTGACTTCCAAACACTTACTCTCACAAGGTTGAAGTTCCTCGGTGACGCTCACTTGTTCAACAACAGTGTCAGACTCACCCGAGATCTCCCCGTCCTTAACTTTGGTGTCGACAAGGTTTTGTACAACAAGCCCGTTAGATTCCGGCGACCTAGGAGCCCTAATTCGACGAGTTTCTCAACGTATTTTTCATTCTCGATTGTTAATTTGAATCCGGGTTCGATTAGAGGTGGTTTGGCTTTTGTCGTATCGTCGAACGATGAAGATGTTGACGACGTTGATGCGTATTTGGGTATTCCTACCGGCGCTGTTGCTGTTGAGTTTGATACTCTAATGGACGTCGAGTTCAAAGATGTTAATGGGAATCATGTGGGTTTGGATCTTGACTCCATGGTTTCTTCCCAAGTTGCCGATTTGGACTCCATTGAAGTCAATTTACGAAGTGGCACTCAAGTCAATTCGTGGATAGATTATTCAAGTTCAACTCAACAACTCAACATCTCTATTTCGTATTCCAACACAAAACCCAAATCACCTCTCTTATCAATCACCACCAATCTCAATCGATATGTAAATGAGTTTATGTTTGTCGGATTTTTCGGGTTAACTCAGGGAAGCACAGAAGTCCACTCGATTGAATGGTGGAGTTTCACCTCTTCTTTCGATGATCAAGGTACAATTACAAAACCCAGTCTAAATCCACCACCAACCACCACCTTCATGAACCCCACTGCTAACCCCGTTAACTCACCGCTGCCGGTGGGGGTCACCAGTGGGTGGTTGAGGGTGGCAGTCCTTGGTTGTCCTTGTTTCTGGAGGAAGAGAAAAGGAGGTGAGGTGGTGATGTTTAAATGGTCTCTCTGAGAGAGAGAGAGAGAGAGAGAGAGAGATGGGGTGGGACCCTTGCATATTAAATACTATTTATTTATTTATTTAAAAAAAGTAATTGCAAAACCTCATAAATGGTCCCTGTGTAGTGAAATGCCAAAAATGCCCCTGACTTAATGGCCAAAAGCTAACGGAGTTAGTCGGAAGGACCAAATGTTAAAAGTTTTGAAACCACAGGGACCATCTGTGAGGTTTTTTGAACTTAGGGACTAAACTTGATATTTTTGAAAACCATAGGGACCATTTTTGAAGTTTTGTCTCTCTCTCTCTCTCTCTCTCTCTCTCTCTATATATAATATATATATATATTATATATATATATATATATAATATATATATATATATATATATATATATATATATATATATATGCAAAATAAATCATATATTTCAATTGTTAATTGTGTTTAGTATTTACAGTTTTAAGAACATTATATAAGTCATTTGGTCGCATTAGTCTATTAACATGTTAAAGAACAAAATTAAAACGTTACTTTAGCTTTACTTCAATAAAATTCCTTTGTAAATTAAAAGAACTATGTACAAATTTCTTTACTAAACGATAAAATTATCCAATGTCTTTGTTTATTTTTAAATCTTACAATAGGAAACTAAAATAAGTTGGTATATATCATTACCAATTTGTACCATCCAATCTTATTGGTAGTCAAATATATTTGTATCAAGTATACTTGGTATGGTACTAATAGCAATTTTTTATGTTAACTATAGCTGGTACAATACACAGTTTAAAGAAAAAAGAATCGGTACCATATCAATTCTACCCCTAAAAATAACAACTTAAGTGCGTTATTAAATCTTTGAAAACATTATTGTACAAGGATATATGACACAAGAGTGACGATCTCATGAGCAATCAATCATGAGATCATCATATAAACTTTAAATTCTCTTCATTCATTTTATAAACCTAGATCATCACAAATTGTCTTTCAATTTGACCTAGTGAATTAAACTTATGAAATTTCAAAGAGGTTAACAGATCAAAAGTGTGTTTAAGTTATAGATAATGCTTGCATCACCATCATTAAACTCCCAAAATAGATCTATAAATGAAACTACTAACAAATTATGGATTTCTTAGCTTAAACATAGTTTAAAAACACTAAAATGGGATTACAAACAACACCTATTTAATGAAAACAAGATTAAATGCGGATTCCGCTATTGTTAGAGATCTGGAGCTTTTAAACAACATTTAAACTTCAAATCAAGCAATATTTGAGGATAATGAAATTGAACTAGTAATCTAATGACCAAAACAAACCTGAAACATTCTTAAAACATTTCTATTATGCTAGATTTTCAAACTGATATATATATATATATTATTTGTATTCTTTTCATTTCTCTATTTCGCTTATTACTTTATTATTTAATTATTTAATTTATTTATTTTAACAAACAATCATAATTAATCGTAAAATAAGGATGTTGCAGTTTTTTAGAAGGATACTCATAAAAAGACTTTTGAAGGTCGGCTACCTTGTTATTTGTGGGCTTGGCCCATTTATATTAGGCCCAAATTTTTCTATATAAATATATCTGGTTGTGTGCACTTGCAAACCCTATATTTTAAAATTAATAAAAAAGCTCTCTAGTTCGTTATATGAACCATGCAAATTAAATTCCTGTATGCTCTTTATTTTTCTCCGTATCTT